TGTTCAGAATAATAGCGATTACGCCAAGTTCGAACACTGTTGTTTGCTTGATTGCTTTCAAGTGATCTTTATTGAATTAATGATTACGTTTTTATACAAACTAAATGCTTACGTAGCTAAATAATAAGGGCATAAAAACTTTGGATAGTAAGCAAAATTATTGTAAAGGCTTTATTCCCACGTTTTGCTTTACATAAGCATAATTAATGCAAATGCTTCATTCCCACGTTTTTGTTGACATAAGCATATTCCACATTTTGCGTCTACTTTCATTTGCGTGCATTAATCAACAATGTCTTATATGTAACTTGACACATGCCAAATTATTTGGCTATAAGAAAACACTAAAAGGCATAAAGTGCACGCTACGCATAAAAGAATGCAAGCGAAAATTAATACCCTGTTGAATAAAGCCAATGCAATATTAATATGTCGACTTTTCTTATTTAATAACACATGTATAGTCATGTGAAAAATAATAGGGACAGGGCCTTTTGGACCAGTTTTGGCTATTTTTCTTTTGATTGTTCAATGTAACATAATTGATTATTAAACAAACACCACATAAATACAAATTTCAAACTTTAGAGGAAAATTCAAAAAAATTTTACAACAAACTTTTTACTAAGAATTTTTAGAAAAAATCCAAGTATGCAGTTTTATAGCCCATTAAATTCTAGCTTAAGAAAATCTAAGTTTGAAGTGGCTAAGATTACGATTTAATTTTTGATATTTTTTTTTGCTGACGGTGTCACGCAATTTGCTCGACAATTTTTTTTATAGTTAGAAGAAAATAATAACATCCGCAAAAAAATTATCAAAAATCAACGCTTATTCTTCGCCACTTGAAACTTGGACTTTCTTAAGCTAGAATGGGCTATAAAACTGCATACTTGGATTTTTTCTAAAAAGTTTGTTGTAAAATTTTTTTGAATTTTCCTCTAAAGTTTGAAATTTGGATTTATATGGTGTTTGTTTGATAATCAATTATGTTACATTGAACCATCAAAATAAAAATAGCCAAACTGGTCCAAAAGGCCCTGTCCCTATTATTTTTCACATGACTATACATGCTTATGTTATTTCAACTGGAATTTTTATGTACATAAGTTTCATATTTAAGTACGAAGTTCTATTTATTTGTAAGTTTTAAAAATAAAAATACTATAATGGTGTGTGATAAACCGTCTTCGAAATACTTTAATATTGAAGACATTAGCCGTGTTTTTGTGTACTTTTTGAAATGTGGACATATATGGTGATTATTATATAATGAGCTAGTCTTTTGTATAAAATTAATAAACATTAAATAAACAAAAGAAAAATAACTATAACTGGTCAAAATGTCGCTAACCTATTGGCGTTTTCGTCTCTGCCGAAAAATGATGCGCTTTCATTGCCCTCTTTTATTAACTAAACCTTCAATACATTGAGTTCTGTGCGCGCGTAGCCTTTTAAAAACTAGTTAAAAATACAAGAGACCGCATTTCATTTTCATTTGCATTTCATGAACGATATGTACTGTGACCCAAATAAAAATTGGTACGCGACCTTTTAACAAGTGTTGGATATTTTTCTTTATATTATTTAATGTAACATTTTTTTTATGAAAGTATGGCTGATTACTTAACAAAACACATATAAATCGAAATTTTTAGAATTCGTGCCAAAATTATGAAATCTGCAAAATGTCTAACTTTTTAATCAGCGTTTTTGAAAAATTGTTGGTATGCAGCCTTGTAGTCCTTAAATTTTAGTATAATAAGGTCCAGTTTCAAGTAGCTAGGGCTTGCCGCTGATTTTTGACAATTTTTTCGTTAAGACATTTTCCGAAAATTTTGCAGATTTCATAATTTTGGCACGAATTCTAAAAATCTCGATTTATATGTGTTTTGTTAAGTAATCAGCTATACTTTCATAAAAAAATGTTACATTAAATAATATAAAGCAAAAATATCCAACACTTGTTAAAAGGTCGCGTCCCAATTTTTATTTGGGTCACTGTATTTGTGTAAAATTTAGTAAAAACTAATATCTGCTTCATCCAAAGCAAGTTGTACTAAATCCGGTTCAACAATGTGCGCTTCCTGCTCTGAAGATTCTATGTTTTGAAGAACTTTACGTGTTACAATGCTGTGAATTTCGGACATTGCTTCCGTGGCCTGACGCAGTGGCAACTGCTCTAATTGAATGGCAATAGTTCTCCCAAAATTAATAAAGACATTGTCAGCATCCGCTTTAGTTGCAGATGTGACTATTGCTTCAATGGCTTCATCAAATTTTGCATTCTTATCATGCTTGCGGTTTCTTCGTCGACGGTTCGAACGTGATGGTGTCGAAGACGAAGGGGAGCTCGATATTGGTGTTGAAAGTTGTGGTAATGTTGTAGGCGTGAGTGTCAGCATATTATCTTCGGTCAGAGTTGAATCTAGCAAGTTTTCCTCAACTACAGCTTCTGTGCTTATCTAGGGGGAATATACATATTATTAGTTAAAAACCCTTTTTTCTTATTTTAACGGTATACAAATTTGTACAAAATGTATATTTGCTCTGCTTACACTGCTTAAATTGCTCACTGTTTTTCTTAAAACAACTACGGAGTCTAGGAAGCTCATTTCCGCAAAATAAAACAAGTGAGGTTCGTAAAAAGCATCCGCTGACGAGCCAGATTTCTTACAGTTTTCAATCTTCTTTTTTTCGTTAACATATGCCGTGCGTAGATGTTTTAATTTCTTCTTTACTTCATCGGAACTCTTTCCACACGCTTCCGAAATTTGGATCCACGCATTTTTCTTTAAATCGACTCGCTTGTATGTTGCACTTTGGTAATTCCAAAGGCATTCGAATTGCCTGTACAAATTTATTAGCTTTAGAACCTCCGCCATGCGCCAATCCATATTTACTGGAAATGGGAACATACAATTCATGAGTCGATTACCAAGCATGTATGGAATAATATAATTTATTAAAACATGCTTACATAATTATGTATTTTAATTTTTTTATTCTACTTCCAAAAGTTGACGTACAAGTAATACTTTTATAACGTTGCTTCACTTTAATAGAAGACTTATTTGCCCAAGAATTAAACTAAAACGCCAACGTTCTATTCGATTTACTCTTTTACTTGCAAAAATCTAACCACAAATAATTTTATTCGCAGAACGCCTTCATTTATCTCTAAAATGGCAATGATGTTGCTGCCAGCAAGCTTTTACACAAATGAAAATTAGCTGTCAAATCAAAAAAATGACAGGTGATGGCAGGCAATAGATGTCAAGCAATAAGCTCTGACATATATTTCAGGCCATGAGCAATAAGCGGTCTCCATTGGAAATATATTTTCTGACATGATTTTCACGACATCAGTGTTTTCCTGTGGAGACAGGGCCTTACATATAAAAGATGAGTGCAAGATTTCTACCAAATGTATACGGCGTAGTCGGGTTATTATGAAGATGGTTTGTCTTAAGTTTCCCCGAATTCGGAAAAGGGGGTGGCACCACTCATACTAACAAAAATTTTCTTCTGGTATATTTGAAATATTTGTGGTAGATTACTCGAAATTGGTATAGAGACATATGAAATAATTCCATACTCATGGAGAAAAATGAGCGGTATTGGAAAAGGGGGCGTGGCACCTCCCATCTTAAATAAAAAAAATAAGTGCACGGATTCTACCAAATTTGAACGGTATATGCAGATGGGTTATGTGAAGTGTGCCCGAATTCGGTCCAGAGGTTCATGATCTATAACAGTTTATGTCTGTTACATGAACCACGTATATGGTACAACAGCAGATACATGAAAAATCGAAAACATAGTGAAAAATTGTTGCTATGATGTGCTGTGTTTATTTTTTCTTCGGATAAATATCAAGTATAAACATGGTTTCAATATAGTAAAAAAAAAATTTCAAATAGAAAAATTCCCGGATTTTTCATTCATTTTTCAATATTTGGTGTAGAGAAGCACACCGGGGTACCGCTAGTTTAATATAAATAAAATTATTATTTTTTTTACATATTAAAAATTTCTCCGCCTATCAGAGAAGTTGTAATACCAGCATATCACGGTGAAATTATTCAAGCATTCACTCCGAAAAAAACATGTGAAAGTATAAGAGCGCGGGTACCCACGAACGTGTACGTAGCGTAGCGTAGAAGTACGTAGAAATATATCAAGTGTGCTGTTGATAGAAAGAGGGAGAAACAACGTCTACACAGTGTTGCCGCGCCGTCTCAAGAAAATGTATCACCGACCAAGCAAAAAATGTATCCAAATTGAAGTCGGTTTTTTTGCTTAAAAATTACTTGTTAAATTAAGAAATGAAAATATGTGATACGAAAGAGATCAATACAGAAGGAGTATATACATATTTACTTTATATCGTCGTTTAAAGTACAAAACCGCGTATAGACAAAATGCAAAACCGCGTATCAAGATAATGCAAAACCGTATATGTGAGGTTGCATAAATTATTTTCCAGAGAGTAAAAACACTCATATTTCAAAATTGTTATCTTTTTTATAAAGCAATCGCATTTCTGGCTGGTATATCTCAAGACGAATGGAAAAGGATTGAGCCAAGAGCTTGTGTGAGCAAATCCAATTCTTTGCAGCAAATGTCAGTTACGCGGTTTTGCAGAATGACGATACACGGTTTTGTACTTTAAACGACGATATATATATTAAGATCTTGCTTAAAGCACCCTTTTTAGCTAATTAAAACAATTGCGCTTATACCTATTTTGGTGACATCTCTTCATATGTTCATTGCTTCATTCACAAAAAATAAAATGCTTCAATTTAACGGTTTAGTAGTGATTTTTAATACATTTAGAAAACCTAATATTTTCTACCATCTTTAATGGAAATCGATTTTTGAACGAAGAAAACGTTATGGAAAATATAAAATTTTGGCCTATTTAAAAAGTATCCACATTTATACTGATCGGAAAAAATAAATTTATCGTAAAAATCCACCTAAAAATGTATCCAATTGGATCTATCTAGATCCAAACGGCATCCCTGCGTCTACGTCACGGTCATGAGGTGGTGAGTTTTTGTTAACTCGCAGATCCCATAAGATAGATCGTGTCAGCTGACACGTTCTCCGTTTTTACGTCCGTGGGTAACTGCGCTTTAACAGTAACTTTAGTGTGAGCTTATGGGCTGTTTTTGCTTACGCGTAAATGTACATTTAGCGCATTTAGCTCTAAATGCTACTCTAAATGTACATTTATCCATACAAAATTCGTCATCTAAATGCAACTAAATGCAACTCAATCTTTGCATTTAGAATCTAAATGCTAAAAGCATCCCTGTGATCTTCCAAAATTTCCACGATTCGAACATGGTTTAATGAGAAAAAGTGGCAATATTGCTTTTTCGAGTATACAACCGCTAGCTGCGTTTCAGTGATCGCCGATCGAGATTTCATTTATTATTTTACATTATTTGGATAAAGAAAAGTTACGCAAATTCAACATCGATATGATGCTGATAGAAATCTGGATTAATTTGTGATCAACTCTGTTTGTTTTGTTTCCTAATTAGGTGTGGAAAATATAATTGGCAGCACCGACAAATGAATATATACACAAACAAATGTTCGGTTATGGTTAAAACAATTCAGGTTTTTGTATTGAATTTTCGGTTTAGAATTTATTTTTCCTTTTCAGTAGGGGTTTTTGCACATTATCTTTTCCGTGAGAATTTATCGTAATGGATACGGATCTGAATAAGCGACTGGAACACGGCTGTTTGTCAAAAGCATACGATTTCGAACTCGCGTAAATGTACATTTGCTAAATGCGATAGCATGAACGCTCTTCGAAAACATATGTTCGAAAGTGCTAAATGTTGCATTTTAAATGCAGCAAAAACGCTGCATTAGACACTCCGTATTCATACGATGTGTATATATTAGAGTGGTTTTAAAAATAATGGACTTTAGATTTTTACAGATTCCCACGTCTAGAAATGTGCTACTTACAGGTCTATTCTGCGCTGGTAATAAAAAGTTTATAACCGGTAAATAAAGTTCCTGCCAATTTTTAAACCCTTTTCACATTCTGTGTACTCTTGTAACCGGTAAATTTTGTTACCATCTCATAAGCTGGTAACAAAGTATTGCCCCGTGAAATATGCAATGCCAGAATTTGCACAATTCTTCATAGCTGAATTGCTGAATATTTGAACTGCATTACCAACGTACCTAGCATCGCGGTGACAAGAACTGGTAACATTTTTTGGTAATAAAATTTTCCGTTTACAAAATCCTCGGTAACGTGCAGAATAGACCTGTTAGTGAGAAAATACAGTTGTGAAAGTTTGAGCCCAATCGGAACATGCCTTCACGTGCCGAAAGTGCCCTGAAGTTCGAAAAAAACGACAATTTTTCGAGAAAATACGGTATTGTTCTGCTTTAGCTTAAGACTGATTCTATCTAAAGCTATAAGTTTACCATCCGATGAAAGGTTATTTTAAAGATATTTTACATTTAATGGTACAAGCACCTTTCTGGTCAGGTTTATGGAGTAAATATTACGATTTAAGTATTTTGGATTTTTTTTTGTTTTCAGTTTATTGTTTCTTAAATCTTGGTAAGTTTTAATTTTTATTCATGACATTTGTAGGCAAAAGTCACTGACTGATTTTTTCGATGACTTTTACAAATAAAACAGTGATTTGTTTTGTTTTAGATTTTATAATTTGTTTCAATACTGTTTTTCATGAAATTTCTTTAAAGTATTTAATGCGCATAAGGCCTCTTTAACACTAATCGCTACAAGGGCATTATTATATTATTCTGGGTCTTCATCGCCAAGAGTGATATGTTGTAAGCAAAAATAAAATTTGAAAAAAGTTTAGTAAGCGAAGTATTTTTCGTACAAATCGAAGAAAGCTTACTCAAAAACAGTACTGTTAAACGGAAAAGGGTTGCAAAGCGGAAATGCAGTCAAAAGTGAAAATTTTGTACAAAATCTATTTCATGAAGCAGTATTTTGGCAAAATTGTGCACGTAAGCATAAAATGCACCTAAGTGGATAGGCAGCTAAATAGATTATACTGTAATTTGTTTTTCTGTTATTAACCGACTTCAAAAAAAGGAGAAGGCTATCAATTCGTCCGAATATTTTTGATTGTTTTTTTATGTATGTTACCGCATTACTTTGGACTAGGGATGTTGCGAATGTAGAATTTTAGACATCCGCGGATGCGAATGCGGATGCGGATGTTTAAAAGCTAACATCCGCGGATGCGAATGCGAATGCGGATGTCAAATACAGTGAAAGCTCCCATATGCGGACACCGATGATCACATTTTTTGTCCGCCTATGAGAGATGTCCGCTTATAAGAATTTCGTAAAGAATAAAATTAAAATTCATACTTAAACAATTGAAATTGCGGGTTTCTAAATGAAAATAATATTTATTCTTCAATAGACAGAAACAGGGTGAATTAAAAATAAAATCAAATTTATGGCGTTTTCTTTCCTACCGACAAATCTCATTGCCCATTGGAAACGAAAAGGCAACACTTTTTCTAGAAAAGAAAATATTTTTGAATATGGACATGTTCTTGTGTACATATACATATGTAGAAGCGC